TGGGGTGTGGGTGTGGGTGTGGGTGTGGGTGTGGGTGTGGGTGTGGGTGTGGGTGTGGAAGAGTGTGGGTGGGTGTTGATGGGGGTGGGGTGGGTGTGAATATTAGTGTTGTCTTCAGCCACAGCCACACCCACGCCCAAATCCATACCATTTATAGCTGATTCAGGTCGGATAAGACGCCGTTTTCGACGATCGGAATGATTGACCTGGGATATAAAGCAACTACACTTACAAACAGACTCGTGCACGAACAAGTAGTGCTTTTCCTACTAATTAATTCTTTCTTACTTCTCCCATCTCATCAGTCGAAAGAGAAATAGACAGAGAAAGAGAAGAAAAAGCAAAAGGAAGAGAAGAAATGAACGATAATATGAGATACATAAGAGAAGTGCAAATGGTCTGATCCATCACAGAATGATAGCAGTTGGCTTCGTACAATTCGTTTCTCAAGTTCGTCTTGATACAGACTTGTGAGCGACTATTTAAAAGTTGATACTTCATATGAACTGTCATCCGATCGTACTTCGCTCATTATTAAGGGTTTTAGATTTAATTTTCTTTCGCATTAGTCAACTAAACAGCTCTCCGTTCGAAAAATAAATCTAGAAGTTTAGATGACTACCTGATTAATACATCAGATTTACATTTATCAGAAATTGTTGGGAGATTCTATCATCACTTTTTGACTCATCTTGTCCTCCCTTTCTTCTTATGATGAAACATAGCGTCCAAGTTTTTCTTCAAAACAAATATTAATTTGATTCATATCACTAAAGCTTTTAGTACGGTCCCTGCAAGATAAACATGTGAAGCACGATGAAGCCACTTTAATGGTGAACGACAGTCATCGCCATTTCTATTGCAGCCCGCGGTTAGAGCAAAAGGAGCACTAGATTGCAATGTCGGTCACTTTTCGCTATGATATCTAGGCTTTTTTTGACACGCTTGTCACATACTACTGGATAGCGGAACGCCGAGGAATAGGGTCCGACTTTCTTATTTATAGTTCAACACTCATTAACAATCGTGTTTCACAAAAACGACGCATTACATTAGATGCATGCTCGCATGGAAAACTTATGTCTGTTTTTCTAAAGAGTAATATGATAGAAAAAACATCGGACTAGCACTAAGCCAATCATGCAGGATGTTGAAAGAGGTCTTGAACTTAAAGAGAACTTTCCAGTATGAAAGAGTATCGATTAGAATCAAATATAGTGGAAGACACCACAAGACAGGCAATAATTTACATGATGATAAATATAGTACCTATGTCATGAAATTGCAAAGAGTCTAATAATAATAGACTAGTAATGTCACACATTTAGTATGGATGTGCCTTTGACTATCAACATACTCACGTTATGTCTCTCTCGCAAGATCGTTTTAGGTCCGCATTATTAATGAAGTGAGTTCATATACTTCAGAATAGTTCGATAGAACTTGGTAAGAAAACTGAAAGCAAGAGCTCTACAATAACAAACATTTGTGAAGTAGAGAATGTTGCCGTTAGTCTTTTGTTCATATTATATGAGTGTGAACATAGATCCGGATGAACAGAAGACTGACGCTCAGTGCTGAGCAGCACTAAATCTATCTATCAACAATAAAAAAATGAAAAACGGAAAATCTGAAAATTTTAGGATATGAAAGGGAAGTATCTTTTAAAGAAAATACTTCAAGCGATTGTCATGTTCTTTCAATCAAGTTTAAGAGATGAAGATAACTTTAAGAGATTTTTATCGTTCTAGAAAAAATTAGCTTAAATCGATAATATTGGTTTTACAACAGAAAACAGAGTTCAGTAAATACATCAGAAAAATGCTTGAGGTTAATGAAATATTTAATCGATGACTTGGATAACATCGACTTTTCGTGAAAGTTGTTATTTGAAACTCAAGATTCCATTGAATTTAAAGGAAAATTGTCATGAAGAATCTTTTTTTCTGTTCTTTTAAACTAAATAGATTTTAATTCGCTTCTTAACCGTTTTTTTTAAATGGGTAGCAAATTGATTCTTTATGTTCATTTTTTGTGATGCGAACATTAATTAAAGAATATAATCCTTGATATTTTTCGCAGTATCGAAAATTGAAGCTTTACTTAAGAAGTAAAATATTCTTTTGTTTTGGTTTTTACTTACTTGGGAGAGTTGGATTGATTGGTGGTGGAACAACAACTGGTACTGGTCGTAAGAGTGGAAATGGTGGTTGAGTTTCTTTCAATTGAATAATGTGAAGATCACCTTGATCAAGACAACTGACTACTTCGAATTGCGTTGCAGCCATTAGAAGTACTTCATCTTCAGTTGGATAATATGAATGCTTACGAATATTTCTAGTCGATTGGCAGTTTAAGTTAAATATTGTTCTGTCACCTGTCGTTCCCAAGAATAGTTGTGATTTCAGAATACCAACAGTAGTTGTGCACGATGAGAAACCCCACCAGACGATTGTTTTTCCTTTGATATAACGTTTGCTCAGATCTAATTTAACACCTCTGTAAGCGTATGTGGGAAGCAGCGGTAGACGAAAGAGTGCAGTTAAGAAAAGTCTCAAATAAAGATACCAAGGTTTCAGCTTTTGTTCTCGCTCAGGTGATCGTAATGTATCATTCAGAACAAAATATAAGCATTTATCGAGTGGCTTCGGTCCCATCGTGTACAACATAATTGATGCGGATTCATCTTGTGTCAATCCATCGGCAGGATTTGTACATCGCTGTTTGGCAACATATGCGTGACTCTGAACGGTTGGTAGAATAGGAACTAGTGGTTTGACAGCTTCTTCAAGTGAAACAAGTGGCATTTCTTCATAACCCCCAATGGGTGCGATAAACTCAAGCGGTTCCTGGACAATATCTGTAATTCGTAATATACGCTGTTCTATTGCTTCTTCTTCACCTCCTGTGGCCATGTTCAGTAGAAAGTAATTTCTTCACAAAATATTAAAATGATATAAATCTAAAAAGTAATAAACGACAACATTTATAGAATTATTTTTACCACCATTGATCCTTTTGTCTCTTGATAATAATCAGGTTGTAAGAACATTGAACTTTTCTTACAGTGCTGCATTTGATCTTACATAAGTGTCAAGATCTACAGTATGCCTAACGTTAGTTTCAATATTCATGTGAAGATATCTTCTGATGGCACTACCAAAGTAATTTTTAATTTTTACATTGAATTGTTAAACGACAGAGATTTATTCAATACTGAATGCACACTATTTTCTTAACTATCGATACCTAGTTGTCTAATTTTTTACCAGCGTTCTTAAAATGAGTTCCATTAAAATATAACTGTTTCTTTCGAAACTTTTTCGAACTGTTAGGTCCTTTATATTTCAATAAATGAACAGTGAGATTCGCTGAACACTTCTGAACAGACAAGCATTTGTCTATTACGGTGTTTTAGCAAAAACTATTGAAGATTGATAGTGCGAACTTTCCGAATATTACGCAGCTGTGTTCTCAAATGAATGTAGAGAATAATGAATAGAAATCAATCACTAAATTTAGTTAGAAAACAAACGCATGTTCAAATATTGGTTTTACAACGAATGGTTTACTCAGAGTTCTTTTTGTATTAAAAAAATCCCGACTGGCCATCCGCTAGGTATTTCGACGCCTCGGTTTTCCACTGTCGATGTCTTCTAAGATACCCATCGCCGAGCCCTCGACCCATCGGAAAATGGCAAACCGAGGGGTCGATTTGAAATTCCGATGGGTAGACCTCGTGTCCCAGATAGCGCCACGATACATATTACGAAAACTTCGATCCCATGCTTCTGCTAACTATCAAGGTACTCACCATCTAGCCTTGGACGCATCGAAATTTCAAATCGACCCCTCGGTTTGCCATTTTCCGATGGGTCGAGGGCTCGGCGCACCCCTCGCACGTCTTTTTGGACTCACTTGGGATGTCTAAAAGTGTATTGTACGACTTGGTCATCATGGTTAAATATGGTAGTAGCTTAGTGTTACAGGAGAAAATTGCTATTATGACGATTGACGATAAGACAATGTAGTTTCTGTTAGTTTTAGTCAAATGAATATAGATATCGAGTTGTGCCACGTGAAAAGAAAAATTCGTGTCATATTTGTCGGAAAATGCCGGTTTCGAAGATTGACGATTATGGCTTACGACTTTCGTTTTCTTTAAAAAAAAACAGAGTAAAATGATGGAGTGCTGTATGTGTCTTACTTGAAACGTTTTTGTCGTTGTTAAAAAGCTATCATTATTTCTACATATGCAGTTGAACGAAACACAATTAAGAAAGAAGTCTTCTTGCCCTCTTCATTTCAATAAAATATCTCAAAATCTCTTTATACTACCTTCATCCTAGAAGATCTTTTCAAATGATCGTTAATAATGATTGACGATGATGAAACACACAACAGTCATCGTCTTCTGTTGCTCCTAGCGTTTGCTAACCAATATACGAATAAAAGGAATACCATAGAACAAGTCACAATGTATTAAGAATCAACTAAAAATGTTATTTTGTAAAGAATGAAACCTGGTATGTGAGTGCTCCTCCTTTTCCTCCTTTTTTTGAAAAAGGCTCCTCCCCTCCTCCATTTGTTGATCCATTCCTCCTTTTCCTCCTTTTTTGCTATTTTCGTTACGAAAGCCACTAATGATAGTACTTTTGTAACACTCTTCGTAGGTTTTGTAATATGGTGGCCTTCGTAATGATCCTGGACTGAAATATTTCCGTAGATTCCTATCCGATTCGATGAGATTCGAATGAATCTTCTCCAATTTTCACAAAAGCTCCGAATTAAACTAAATTCAAGAGTACATAGTGCAAAAAACTGTCTCCTCAAGATTATAATGTGAATAAAAATTTATTTATAATTACAAAGAACCTAAATTATTTACCAAGAATAACAGTAGTAAATGTGCAATATATACAATATTTTAAAAATAATTTTACACAATCCTACAATTCGAAAAGTTATGCTAAATAATAGTTGTTCTTTTCTACCTATATTGAACCATTTCTTTATCATATATTTGAAAATCTAATTTTAGGAAAAGCTCCATCAGACTACTGACCAAGCGTGCATATAAGAAATTTCGATTTTGAAATAGGTTATACCATTTGAAAGTTCGTGAAAAGATACGCTGAAACCCAAATTTTTAGCTCATTGTGGAAACGCTATCAAAAGATAGGAAGAGATCTTTGAATTCATCTAAAGTACAAATTCATAAATATTCGAAAATTTTGATGAGTTTTAGATAATCTTATTAACACTATAATATAAATGCACCACGATGGAACAATATTCTCAAATTTAAATTGTATCTAAAACTTTCTAATATGTTTTTTTGAACTCAAAAATTAATAAAAATAATCGTTTTTGTTGTAAATTTTTGCTCTCAAAATGTACCAGAGCAATTTCCTCTTGAAAATCTTTTAGCATTAGGAGGAAGTCTGTTAAAAACTGTATATTTATACATATTACTCAACAAGATAAAGTTTGGGGAAGTTATTTAATTTTTGAGTGCAAAGAAGATCACAGCCATGCGAAGTAGTTTGACATAGATGGAAAAGAACAATTATTGTTTAGTTTAACTTTTTGAATTGTAGGATTATCTAACATTATTTTTTAAAATACTGTGTATATTGTAATTTTACTACTGCTACTATTGATAATAATTTAGGACTCTTGTAATTATAAATAAACTTTTATTCATATTATAATCTCGAGAGTTCGATTTTTTTTGGCACTCCGTACTATGTTTTAGAGGTGTCAGTTATCCCGAAGCCTTTGGTCGCTGGAATTCCATTGAATGCAAGGTTTTTTCGATACCATTAATTTTAGGTACCTGTCATTTCGGTTTTATCTAATTGAACAGTTGTTCCGATATGACTGAAAAACCAGATTGCTTACTGAAATTCAGTCTTCGTGTTCCCTCTTGTTAACAACGAGTTTTTGCTGAGAACTCCATTATTGTAGCTGGTTACAAGAAAAGTTCCAGTTTAACACTAAAATATACATCGCTGACGACAACTTAGCGTCAGAGTATTTTAATTCTTGTGAATAACCTTTTTGCCGTAGTTGAATACACTTTTGTTTCTAATTTTGTCTTGATTATTTTGCGAAGAAGTTATTCTGAGAAGAGACAGAAATTCTATAAAAGCACGTTTTCTAATGTCGCAGTATAGTTCATCATGAATTGATAAAGAGACGTTGATAGTGAGTAAAGAAAGTATGTGCTGATTTTTCATTTCATCTTCACAACTGATTTTTCTCTGTAAACAATTCGGCAGTATCGGGTATTACTGTAAGTTCTGACGGAGATACAAAGGCTTGTTAATGCTTTCAAAAAACTGTTTTATTTTTGATATTTTATGCAGTTACTATGACGATCTTGAATAAATTCTGTGATAAGCTTACTGTTACGTACTACTTAAGAATTGTTGAATTCTAATGAGTATCTCGGTCAACTAACTTAGTACTTTTTATTGATCGGTTTTGTGAATTAACTTCTTAAATAAGAGTTGAATAAAGATTTTGAACATCATCTTTCTTTCGTTATTCTTCCACTGAATATGTTCATGCATCCTTAACTCAAAGGTAAATATCTGTCAATCTGCAATATTTTATTAATTTAAAATTCGTTCAATCGCTTTCTCGTAAGAACTTTGTTGTTTTCGTTGAGAAGCACATGTATCATTGCAATGGCCTTTCTTAAGATGTAGGACGTCTTTCATGTTAAAGAGAATTGTGAATGAATCCTGTTGGACTGGTAGCAAACTCGCTTGGATAGAGATTAGAAAGAGAATTTCGATTCATACAAAATTTTTTCAAAATTTTATTGTTTGTAATTATCTTTGAAAGTTGATCTTTTTCCTGCTTTGGTTGTTGAGGATGACAATCAATTGTTTGCATACATTAAAGCTCATCAAATTAGTTTCTGAACTATATGTGGTGAAATTCACGTAGAGTTTTATGGAGGATTAAGGTCTGGAAATATTTCATAAAACGGATCTGGATCAAAGTATTCTGAATCTGATGGATTGCAACTGTCAATATGCAACTCTATTCCTCACGCACTTGCATGTTTGGAACACTGCAGCATCCTTTCTTAGTAAGAAAGAAATCCTCCTTTTTTCCTCCTTTTTTAAGAGTAATCCTCCAAAAGAATCAGGTCATAAATCCTCCTGATTCCTCCTTTTCTTCATATGGTCGCTAACATACCAGGAATGAAACACTTATCCGTCTTTCTCCACGGAAGCTTCTGTTCATTAAATTTGAATGAAATTATATAATCATATCGCTATAATTAAAGTCATGAATTCGATTATTCTTCAAAAAAACTAAAATTAAAATCGCTTGGCAATAGTTTTTTTTGTTGAGTAAATTATAGACGGATGCACATCGATTACCATACGAAAAGGAAAGTTTAATGTTAATCGATTTTAATTTTGACGTTACAGTATAATCAGATGATCGATAGTCTCACTTGTGAAGCATATCACGTTATAAGAAACTTTATTCGTTAAATAGAACATGTTAAGACCAGATAAAATATAGAATAATTGTGCCCTTTCAGTCATCTTTCACTAGTTTAATCCAATTTACAAAGATTTTTATTTCTATTAAGGTAACCAATACCCAACAGAAAATTGCAATATTAACTATACTGAAATGAGAAACGGATGGAACTCAACTGGAAATCTGTTGAATGATAATTTGACCGACTTATTTAGCATCTGCCTTTGACAAACTCTCTGTCGTTATGTATCATTCACAAATACTCGCAGATAACGTAATTAAATGCTACCTATTTCTGGTAACGATCAAATCACATTCTGTTACATAGAAACTAAGTACAGGGTGGTAAATAATATTATTCCAGGGGGGTAACACTATGATCTCGAATCGGAGATATCATGAA